ACTATCGTGTCGAAATATGTCAAAAAAAGCTTGACTACATCGAACAATGTTTCTATATCAAAGTGTTACCAGGGAAATGTCCGTCCAATTACAGACAAGTACGTTGTACTAGAGTGAACAACATTGAAGTACGAAAAGGGTGCATTCTTTCACTTTTGAATTCCCGACAAAGCACATATATAAATTATTTCATTCCTTTCGTCATTTTGGTCTTAGTTAGGGTTAGCTTAACTAAAGTCTAGCTATGAGGAAAACAAGAAACAGGAGAGGTCAAACCCCAGCTTCTGACATTGCTGAGGTTACTGAGTTTCATGAGAATCCTGAGGTTCCTCATGTTTCTGGGGTTGCTGAGGATCCGATCTATGAAGACTTCCAGGATATTGATAAAGTTGATGCTACTCCCCCAGATCCAGAAAGCTCTCAGAATTGCAATGTCCAGGAAGAGGCAGGTGGCGCAAGTACAGGCACAAGCGAGGACTCACGCGAGGACTCAAGCAAAGGCACATGCACAGCAACAACAGTCACAACCTCATCCACATATGCTATTTCAGACGCAATCACAGCATCAGCAGCCACACACCATCCCTCCTGTCACATCATCCACCAGTGGGGACTACCAGATGGCTTCAAATATTGCGGTTTCACAGCAGCAACAGTGCCCAACGGGATGGATGCCACCCTGGCAGCATGTTTATCAACCACAGCAGCCGCAGCAGGGACAGTCAGAGCGGTCTTCAAGTTCACCTCCAGCACACTCTCTATAGGAGTTCCTTGAATTCTAGAGTGTAGGTTTTGAGGAATGGATTGACCTTTGTTCCTGTTTGGCAACCACTGTCACCACTGTCACCACTGCCTGGAGGATCAAAGACTGTTGATGCTTCTCTGTATTTTTATTTTGTATGTTTGTTTGTATTTTAAACATAAAGTTGAAAAAAAAATACAAATGTGATGTTGTTGATATGATATGATATGAAAACAGCCAAATTATTAATTAAGAGAGTTGTGCTAGCAAACCAAAACAACCTGCTTGTTCCTATTAAAAGGCCATTTGAAACAAATTGTGTAAATAAGGTCCTATTTTCAAATATAGATAGAATCTGAATTGAAAATAGATGTTGGAAGACCCTCATTTCAATTAAAGGTATAGCTTATACATAGTTAAAGCTGCTTTACTGTATTTAATCGGTCAAATCTCACCCTTTAAAGGTTTTCAAATATTTTGATAGAGACAACTTTGCTTAGTATTCACGCAGAATCTGAGATCATTTTGTCGATTTTTAAGGGGTGAAAAGGAGGGTCAGAACTATTGGGTCGTACTCTACATTTTGGCTGCAAAGATTAAATTTTGATACCTTATAGCACGTGCAAAAAGGGTGTGTGGTCATAATAAAAATGACTATTTGTTTGGATCAAAAACTCCAACATGACAATTTTACTACTTAATTAGGTAAATAGTTTCATTTCATGAAGAAAACACAGTTGATGATTTTAGTCTGAAACCAAACAGTAATGCAGCTTTAACGCGCCATATAGTTAATAAAGTTTTATTTTGACTACATGCAGCTCCTTTGATTCATGAGTTGGCATAATCAAATGTAACATTGTGATAAAGATACAATTTCAAAGAAAAGAAATTGGTCTGTCCAAATCACCTTTATCTTGTTAAGTTATAATATGCCTTTATTTAACATGAGAGTTTCTTTCAAAATCATGAATTCAAAGTACCATATGTTGAAAAGAAAGGTGTGAAATTACTTTGTAAATTATATATTTTCTAACATCATTATTGTTTGTTCTTGTTTAGTCTTGAATATAACAAAACTACAAGGACACAAACAAATACAAATGCACAGGTCTGATATTTTAATGAAAGCTGGTACAATGGCATTAACTTAAAAGAGTAAAACAACGATTCAGTATTGGTGAAGATGTGTATCCTGCCATGGAACAAAGGAGCAAAGGTAATGTTTCAGGTAAATCCGCTGCTTCTTGGCTACTACTGTGTCACGGTTACCCCAATAAGTGTGATTCGTGTCCTCCAAGTTTAGCCAGGCACCAGGTACCAAGTTGTGGTTCGCATCTTCCACAGCCAACTTGGAGGACATGAATCACACTTATTGGGGTAACCGTGACACAGTAGTAGCCAAGAAGCAGCGGATTTACCTGGAACATTACCTTTGCTCCTTTGTTCCATGGCAGGATACACATCTTCACCAATACTGAATCGTTGTTTTACTCTTTTAAGTTAATGCGCTTGTACCAGCTTTCATTAAAATATCAGACCTGTGCTCCTTCAAAGTGGGTCGTCAGAATGGTTGTACAGGTAAGGAGTTCCTTCAAAGTGGGCCGTCAGAATGGTTGTACAAGTAAGGAGTTCCTTCAAAGTGGGCCGTCAGAATGGTTGTACAAGTAAGGAGTTCCTTCAAAGTAGGCCGTCAGAATGGTTGTACAAGTAAGGAGTTCCTTCAAAGTAGGCCGTTAGAATGGTTGTACAAGTAAGGAGTTCCTTCACAGTGTGCCGTCAGAATGGTTGTACAAGTAAGGAGATCGTTCAAAGTGGGCCGTCAGAATGGTTGTACAAGTAAGGAGTTCCTTCAAAGTAGGCCGTTAGAATGGTTGTACAAGTAAGGAGTTCCTTCAAAGTGGGCCGTCAGAATGGTTGTACAAGTAAGGAGTTCCTTCAAAGTGGGCCGTCAGAATGGTTGTACAAGTAAGGAGTTCCTTCAAAGTAGGCCGTTAGAATGGTTGTATAAGTAAGGAGTTCCTTCAAAGTGTGCCGTCAGAATGGTTGTACAAGTAAGGAGGTCCTTCAAAGTGTGCCGTCAGAATGGTTGTACAAGTAAGGAGTTCCTTCAAAGTGGGCCGTCAGAATGGTTGTACAAGTAAGGAGTTCCTTCAAAGTAGGCCGTTAGAATGGTTGTACAAGTAAGGAGTTCCTTCAAAGTGTGCCGTCAGAATGGTTGTACAAGTAAGGAGTTCCTTCAAAGTGGGCCGTTAGAATGGTTGTACAAGTAAGGAGTTCCTTCAAAGTAGGCCGTTAGAATGGTTGTACAATTAAGGAGTTCCTTCAAAGTAGGCCCTCGGAATGGCTGTACAAGTAGGTGGTTTCTTCAAGGTGGGCCGTCAGAATGGTTGTTCAAGGAGGTGGTTTCTTCAAGGTGGGCCGTCAGAATGGTTGTACAAGGAGGTGGTTTCTTCAAGGTGGGCCGTCAGAATGGTTGTATAAGTAAAGAGTTCCTTCAAAGTAGGCCGATAGAATGGTTGTACAAGTAAGGAGTTCCTTCAAAGTAAGCCCTCGGAATGGCTGTACAAGTCGGTGGTTTCTTCAAGGTGGGCCGTCAGAATGGTTGTGCAAGGAGGTGGTTTCTACAAGGTGGGCCGTCAGAATGGTTGTACAAGGAGGTGGTTTCTTCAAGGTGGGCCGTCAGAATGGCTGTATTAGTAAGGAGTTCCTTCAACGTAGGCCGTTAGAATGGTTGTACAAGTAGGTGGTTTCTTCAAGGTGGGCCGTCAGAATGGTTGTACAAGGAGGTGGTTTCTTCAAGGTGGGCCGTCAGAATGATTGTACAATTAGTTGTCTCCTTCAAAGGGGGCCGTTAGAATGGCTGTACAAGTAAGAAGTTCCTTCAAAGTAGGCCGTTAGAATGATTGCACAATTGAATGACATTCGATCCCTCGTGAATAACAAAGTGTTGCAGCAAGCCCAATTAAAATGTCAAGTAAATATGCCACGTCCAAGTCCACGTCCACGTCCAAATATGCCTGTACAAGTAAGGAGATCTTCGAAGTGGGCCGTCAGAATGGTTGTACAAGTAAGGAGTTCCTTCGAAGTGGGCCGTCAGAATGATTGTACAAGTGGGTGGTTTCTTCAAGGTGGGCCGTCAGAATGATTTTTCAAGTATGGAGCTCCTTAAAAGTAGACCGTTAGAATGGTTGTTCAAGTAAGAGTTCCTTCAAAGTAGGCTGTCGGAATGGTTTGACAAGTAAGGAGATCCATCAAAGTAGGCCGTCAGAGTGATTGTACAAGTAGTTGACTCCTTCAAAGTGTGCCGTCAGAATGGTTGTACAAGTAAGGAGTTCCTTCGAAGTAGGCCGTTAGAATGGTTGTTCAAGTAAGAGTTCCTTCAAAGTAGGCCGTCAGATTGGTTGTACAAGTAGGTGGTTACTTCAAGGTGTGCCGTCAGAATGGTTGTACAAGGAGGTGGTTTCTTCAAGGTGGTCCGTCAGAATGGTTGTACAAGGAGGTGGTTACTTCAAGGTGGGCCGTCAGAATGGTTTTACAAGGAGGTGGTTTCTTCAAGGTGGGCCGTCAGAATGATTGCACAATTGAATGACGTTCGAGCCCTCGTGAATAACCGGAGCAGCAAGTCCAATTAAAATGTCAAGTAAATGTGCCACGTCGAGCTGTGTTGTCATACAGGACACAGCAGGAGCTTGATGACAACATCAGGCGGATCTGTGTCTTCATGTACTTCAAACTTCTCTTCTTGATTAGCGTCCAAACATGTCGCACCATAACATGCGGTTGTAATGATTTAAAGAAGAAAGGAATATTGAAAGTATTTATCTGTGTGTTCACATCTATACTTAGTTCTCCCAATGTGATACTTCCCAACCCGCTTACACCACCTTAAGCTGTCCCAGCGCGACATCTGGCGTAACCCCGGCTGGTTAAGCAACGGCAGTCCCGCTACTTTCTTTTCACACGCCATTCAAACGTAACATCAAATGTCACTTACACTTGCTAGAAGGATAGCCATAATGAATTGATACAATCTAACTGTCAAGTCTATGTAAAGAATAATACCAATATCCCCGAGGCCCTCAAAACCCTTTGTTCTCACCGCAACCCCGAAGTCAAGCTGTGTCCGTTCAGTTGGAACCATTCAAACACATCTGGCAGCAAGCCAAAATCAGAAGTTCATAAACAAATCTACCTGTCGTTACCCATGTTTCGCCACCCAGGCAGTTATCCCCCTTCCTATTGTTATACCAACCATTATTATACATATACCAAATGGAACATTCACTGCCACTTATGCAGTTTGTTTGCCTGCAGTCACACAATTTTATTGCTGTGAAATAGTATTTGGTTTTCTCATTTAGTTTTGGAATGTGATCAGGTCTCAGGCGAATGAGACGTCGAACGGGGCTTAGAATCCGGACACTACCCGAGCGACATGTAGCGGCGGTAAATCAACGCAAGGACGCTGTTGGTTTAAGGCAGTGCACACAAGCAAAAAGAAAAGACGTAAGTTGAATGAATGCTGAGGACTTTCTATGTCATGTTAAGGTACTGTGTCAGCGTACACACACATATACCTTTATTAGTCGCCTGCAAGGCTGTCTAACAACCAGTTGCATATCATTAACGTCTATCCATCGAATACTAACTGGTTTGTTGAGACATATTTACTGAACAAATCTCGTCCATAAGGCTTCGTGACATCATGAAAGACTCTCGTAACTCCAGAATAGGTTTATATTTAGTACATGAAAGAATTAGCTACCTGTGGAGTGGTTAGTGGGGCCCTTCTCGTGGTTTATGATACGCTCGCATAATAAGCCACTGAAACGGACGTGGAAAGCAAAATTCGGTTCACGATTAGTTAGAAGGTAGTATGTTTTCATTCAAACTTTTGATTTGACAGTGTGAGGTTGACAAAGGAGTGAAATGTAATGCTCGATATTGTGCATATGCCGCCTTCGTTACTTGGTCATTTGGTCACACACAAAGAGCACCCCAGAAAGAGAACGTCCTATGTACTCTCCTTCGGATATTTCAAGGGGTTTATTGCTGTATCGTTAACATGTAATTGCCGTTTCGGTTAATAGGTTTGTCAATCAGAAAAAAACGACATAAAATTTGAAATTGTTGTCTTGTATGTGACAGCATCTGACACCCTGCATAGATCACGCCACTTGACACTCTGCATAGACCAAACCACTTGACTCACCTGCATAAATAACACCACTTGACATCCAGCATAGATCACAGCACTTGACACCCTGTTGAGATCACAGCACTTGACATCCTGCATAGATCACACCACTTGACACCCTGCATAGATCACAGCACTTCACTCCCTGCATAGATCACACCACCTCATTCCCTGCATAGATCACATCATCTGACACCGAGATCATACCACTTGACACCCTGCATAGATCCCAACACTCTGCATAGATCACTCCATCTGACACCCTGCATAGATCGCACCACGTTACACCATGCATAAATCACACCATCTGACACCGAGATCATACCACTTGACACCCTGCATAGATCCCAACACTTGACACCCTGCATAGATCACACCACCTGACTCCCTGCATACATCACACCACCTGACACCCTGCATAGATCACATCATCACACACTCTGCATAGATCCCATCACCCTGCATAGATCAATCCATCTGACACCCTGCATAGATCCCAACACTTGACACCCTGCATAGATCACACCACCTGACTCCCTGCATACATCACACCACCTGACACCCTGCATAGATCACATCATCACACACTCTGCATAGATCCCATCACCCTGCATAGGTTACACCATGCATAAATCACACCATCTGACACCGAGATCATACCACTTGACACCCTGCACAGATCCCAACACTCTGCATAGATCACACCACTTGACACCCTGTTTAGATCACACCGTCTGACACCATACATATGTAGCGGCTATAAAATATCCGAGTCCCGTGACCTTGACACCCTGCATAGATCACAACACTTGACATCCTGCATAGATCACACCACTTGACACCCTGCATAGATCACAGCACTTGACATCCTGCATAGATCACACCACTTGATACCCTGCATAGATCACACCAACTGACACACTGTATATATCACAACACTTGACACCCTGCACAGATCACAACACCCTGCATAGATCACAACACCCTGCATAGATCACAACACCCTGCATAGATCACACCACTTGACACCCTGCATAGATCACAACACCCTGCATAGATCACAACATCCTGCATAGATCACAACACCCTGCATAGATCACAACAACCTGCATAGATCACACCACTTGAAACCCTGCATAGATCACACCACTTGACATCCTGCATAGATCACAGCACTTGACAGCCTGTTCTAGATCACACCGCTTGACACCCTGCTTAGATCACACCACGTGACACACTACATAGATCACACCACTTGACACCCTGCATAGATCACACCATCTCACACCTTGCATAGATCACACCACCTGACTCCCTGCATAGATCAAACCACCTAACACCCAGCATAGATCACATCATCACACACTCTGCATAGATCACATCACCCTGCATAGATCAATCCATCTGACACCCTGCATAGATCACACCACGTGACTCCCTGCATAGATCACATCACTTGACAGCCTGTTCTAGATCCCACCGCTTGACACCGTGCTCAGATCACACCACGTGACACACTACATAGATCACACCACTTGACACCCTGCATAGATCACACCATCTCACACCTTGCATAGATCACACCACCTGACTCCCTGCATAGATCACACCACCTGACACCCTGCATAGATCACATCATCACACACTCTGCATAGATCCCATCACCCTGCATAGATCACTCCATCTGACACCCTGCATAGATCACACCACGTGACTCCCTGCATAGATCACATCACTTGACAGCCTGTTCTAGATCACACCGCTTGACACCGTGCTCAGATCACACCACGTGACACACTACATAGATCACACCACTTGACACCCTGCATAGATCACACCATCTCACACCTTGCATAGATCACACCACCTGACTCCCTGCATAGATCACACCACCTGACACCCTGCATAGATCACATCATCACACACTCTGCATAGATCCCATCACCCTGCATAGATCACACCACCTGACACCCTGCATAGATCACATCATCACACACTCTGCATAGATCCCATCACCCTGCATAGATCACTCCATCTGACACCCTGCATAGACACACCACGTGACTGCCTGCATAGATCGCACCACGTTACACCATGCATAAATCACACCATCTGACACCGAGATCATACCACTTGACACCCTGCATAGATCCCAACACTCTGCATAGATCACACCACTTGACTACCTTTTTAGATCACACCGTCTGACACCATACATATGTAGCGGCTATAAAATATCCGAGTCCCGTGACCTTGACACCCTGCAGAGATCACACCAACTGACACCTTGCATAGATCACACCACTTGACACTCTGCATAGACCACACCACTTGACACTCTGCATAGACCACACCACTTGACACTCTGCATAAATCACACCAACTGACACCTTGTTGAGATCACACCACTTGACACCCTGCATAGATCACAGCACTTGACACCCTGTTGAGATCACAGCACTTGACATCATGCATAGATCACACCACTTGACACTCTGCATAGACCACACCACTTATCACTCTGCATAGACCACACCACTTGACACACTGCATAGATCACACCAACTGACACCTTGTTGAGATCATAGCACTTGACATCCTGCATAGATCACACCACTTGACACCCTGTTGAGATCACAGCACTTGACATCCTGCATAGATCACACCACTTGACACCCTGCATAGATCACATCACTTGACACCCTGTTGAGATCACAGCACTTGACATCCTGCATAGATCACACCACTTGACACCCTGCATAGATCACACCACCTGACTCCCTTCATACATCACACCACCTGACACCCTGCATAGATCACATCATCACACACTCTGCATAGATCCCATCACCCTGCATAGTCACTCCATCTGACACCCTGCATAAATCACACCACCTGACTCCCTGCATAGATCGCACCACGTAACACCATCCATAAATCACACCATCTGACACCGAGATCATACCACTTGACACCCTGCACAGATCCCAACACTCTGCATAGATCACACCACTTGACACCCTGTTTAGATCACACCGTCTGACACCATACATATGTAGCGGCTATAAAATATCCGAGTCCCGTGACCTTGACACCCTGCAGAGATCACACCAACTGACACCTTGCATAGATCACACCACCTGACACCCTGCATAGATCACACCACTTGACATCCTGCATAGATCACACCACTTGACACCCTGTTGAGATCACAGCACTTGACATCCTGCATAGATCACACCACTTGACACCCTGCATAGATCACACCAACTGACACCATGTATATATCACAACACTTGACACCCTGCATAGATCACACCACTTGACACCCTGCATAGATCACACCACTTGACACCCTGCATAGATCACACCATCTCACACCTTGCATAGATCACACCACCTGACTCCCTGCATAGATCACACCACCTGACACCCTGCATAGATCCCAACACCCTGCAGAGATCACACCACTTGACACCCTGCATAGATCACACCACTTGACATCCTGCATAGATCACAGCACTTGACAGCCTGTTCTAGATCACACCGCTTGACACCCTGCTTAGATCACACCACGTGACACACTACATAGATCATATCACTTGACACCCTGCATAGATCACACCATCTCACACCTTGCATAGATCACACCACCTGACTCCCTGCATAGATCACACCACCTGACACCCTGCATAGATCCCAACACCCTGCAGAGATCACACCACTTGACACCCTGCATAGATCACACCACTTGACATCCTGCATAGATCACAGCACTTGACACCATGTTCTAGATCACACCGCTTGACAACCTGCTTAGATCACACCACGTGACACACTACATAGATCACACCACTTGACACCCTGCATAGATCACACCATCTCACACCTTGCATAGATCACACCACTTGACTCCCTGCATAGATCAAACCACCTAACACCCAGCATAGATCACATCATCACACACTCTGCATAGATCCCATCACCCTGCATAGATCACACCACTTGACACCCTGCATAGATCACACCACCTGACTCCCTGCATAGATCGCACCACGTTACACCATGCATAAATCACACCATCTGACACCGAGATCATACCACTTTACACCCTGCATAGATCCCAACACTCTGCATAGATCACACCACTTGACACCCTGTTTAGATCACACCGTCTGACACCATACATATGTAGCGGCTATAAAATATCCGAGTCCCGTGACCTTGACACCCTGCAGAGATCACACCAACTGACACCTTGCATAGATCACACCACTTGACACTCTGCATAGACCACACAACTTGACAC